GACCACAACAGTGATTCATTCCACAACAGTAATTACCGCTGCAGATAGCATAACACCGAACGCAACAGAGATTCGTACCACAGAGATTATAACACCGAACACAACAGTGATTCCTACCACAGATAGCATAACACCGAACACAACAATGATTCCTACCACAGATATTATAACACCCACCACAACAGTGATTCCTACAACAGATAGTATAACACCCACCACAACAGTGATTCCTACAACAGTGAATATAACACTAAGTACAAGACTAGTTTGTATGCAGACAAGCACAAGAGTGGTTGACACTACAGTTTGTATCCCAGGGGCCACAACAGTGATTCATACCACAGTTTGTTTATCACCAACCACAACAATGAGCAATAGTGTGACACCCAGCATAACAGGTACATGTACTATTGGTATATTGTTTATTTTAATGTTTTATGTGTAATTTTTGACGCGTTCCAAACTATCTTTGCATTTCGAAAATTTTTTCACACAGAAATAGCATCATGAGCAAAATTTTGCAAGCACCAGAAAGTTTCATTCTAAGTAGTGGATTCATGCTGGGAAAACTACCGTCTCCCAAATTAGAAGTACTGCAGACTTAACCCGATAGAATTTTACAGTACAGATGTTTTAGAAAAAGTTCACAAATTGTAAAATAGTCACTAGGCTGAAAACTCCGCAAAATTTCCGAAACATTGATGTGAATATTGATATGTCAGGTTACATATATTCTTCCGATTTTCCTGATATTGAAATTATTCTAAAATTTTATTAAAATCTATTTAAAGGAAGCCTGTATTTAAAAACCACATTTAAACTTGTGATTCAGTGATCACAAGTTTGGAAAGTGTTTTATGGGCTAACAAATTTTCAGAAAATTTGCTGATGTTTCAGCACATGGAGGACCTCTAAATGAAGCATGACTTTTTACGCGTAATTTAATTTTTAAGGCATGCGCATTGCATGCTGATTTCATTACAGTCATTAGCCTTTTTCCGAAGTGTCGACACCATTTCCTGACAGTATCAAATCCTCATAAATTTTATCACAAGAAAATAAATATGTTTGATTTGATTTAGATGTAAAAACTGTCAAATGTTTGACAAATTCTGCTACTTTATTTACAATTGTAACAAATGAGCCTAGCGCGAATTCAGTGTTGCGGATAAAATTGGATATCTGGTATTCCGTTTCTCCACAGTCATGCCCAGGACTCAACCTGCGACGAGGCATACTCTGCGTACGAAAGTGGCCAAATCATGAAAAAATCTTGAATAATAACAATAATTGTGGTTTCTTGATACATCAAGAGCTAAGCGAAATTACAATGTACGCACACAGATTAAAGTTGAGTTAAAATCCTATTAGTCTTTCGTCTAATTCTTTGTAAGGAAATAAGGTATAAACTCGATTTCCCCGCCTGTCCCATTGAAAGCTTCTAGCGTTTCTCATTGATCAGTTTCAATCCCAATTTATTCCACTGCTGACATTCGCAATACTTTGTTGAGCTGCTGGAGGCTAATCCTTAAATTGTAGCCATACGACCGCTGTCACTCATGCCATGTCAATCAACTAGCTCTCTTTGTTCCTGGATAAAAATAGGCGAGCGGAATTAGTACCCACGCTGCACGTTCTGCACGTCCTCGGGGATAGAACGTTTGAAAGAAATGTCTTCATGCAGGTATGATGCTGTTTCAAACACAGTTACTTAACTAAGAAATTCTCGGAAAGACGCTCGTAATTGATGTGAGCATGACCTATAAACAATTCCTATAAACGCTTATTACCTCGGCCAGAAGTTTACGTTTTAAACCACGTTTCTATTTTCCCGGGAGTGAGTTTGTCTATCAGCTCCATAATTTCAAAAGTATCAACCATACTAATACGAAAGTTTATGCGACTATGAACCGCAGCTTTTTTTGTTTTCCTTCTACATTTTGACCTCTTTTCCCACAAGGCCAAAGTATAAAAGAACAAGATCATACATGCTTTTCATAGTATAACCAAGACCTCCCAAAACTAAATCTAATCATATACGCCTGAAATACCTGATACGCTACAAGGTCTTTCAGTTGCTTCATGACAGCAAAATAATTTGTCGCAAACCTCCTCTATAGACTATATAGACTATAGATATAGTATAGTTTTAGGAAAAACTGCTCAAAGTGTCGAAACACGCAGCCAAAGTCCATTCTCTTTTCTGTTAAATTAACTACATATAAAACTACACCAAAAACATATAAAATTTGCTGAAATACTTCAACTTTCCATTTTGTCAACCTCGTCCTTGTTTTATATAAGGCGCTTAAAAGACAATAAGTTTTAAACCGACTGAAGTAACTACACGGAGTCGAGCGTTCGGAGAATTTACCACCTATCTCTGCTTATATTTGTTTCAGTTAGTCCAACACCGTCCACTACAGATACTATAGTTAGTCCAACACCGTCCACTACAGATCCTACAGTTAGTCCAATACCATCCACTACAGATCCCACAGTTAGTCCAAGACCATCCACTACAGATCCTACTGTTAGTCCAACACCATCCACTACAGATCTTACAGTTAGTCCAACATCATCCACTACAGATCCTACTGTTTGTCCAACACCATCCACTACAGATCCTACAGTTAGTACAACACCATCCACTACACATCATACAGTTAGTCCAATACCATCCACTACAGATCCTACTGTTAGTCCAACACCATCCACTACCGATCCTACTGTTAGTCTAACACCGTCCACTACAGATCCTACAGTTAGTCCAACACCATCCACTACAGATCCTACAGTTAGTCCAACACCATCCATTACAGATCCTACAGTTAGTCCAACACCATCCATTACAGATCCTACTGTTAGTCCAACACCATCCACTACCGATCCTACTGTTAGTCCAACACCATCCACTACCGATCCTACTGTTAGTCCAACACCGTCCACTACAGATCCTACAGTTAGTCCAACACCATCCACTACAGATCCTACAGTTAGTCCAACACCATCCATTACAGATCCTACAGTTAGTCCAACACCATCCATTACAGATCCTACAGTTAGTCCAACACCATCCATTACAGATCCCACAGTTAGTCCAACACCATCCACTACCGATCCTACTGTTAGTCCAACACCATCCACTACAGATCTTACAGTTAGTCCAACACCATCCACTACAGATCCTACTTTTAGTCCAACACCATCCACTACAGATCCTACTGTTAGTCCAACACCGTCCACTACAGATCCTACAGTTAGTCCAACACTATCCACTACAGATCCTACATTTAGTCCAACACTATCCACTACAGATCCTACAGTTAGTCCAACACCATCCATTACAAATCTTACAGTTAGTCCAACACCATCCACTACAGATCCTACAGTTAGTCCAACACCATCCACTACAAATCCTACAGTTAGTCCAACACCATCCACTACAGATCCTACAGTTAGTCCAACACCATCCACTGCAAATCCTACAGTTAGTACAACACCGACAACTCCAGATACTACAGTTGGTCCAACACCAACCACACCAGGTACATATAGTATCGGTATATTGTTTATTTTATTTTTTGTGTGTAATCTTTGACGAGTAGTTCCAAACTATCTTTGAATTTTTCAAAGTGTAAGTTTTTCTACGGAAAGTGCATGATTTGGCAAATTTTGCAGACACTGGAAAAGTTTCATTCCAAGTAACTGAATTATGTAGGCAAAATACCGTCTCCGTATAATTAGAAATATTGTAGACTTACGAGATAGATTTTCACAATACAAGTGTATTAGAAAACAGTGGCGTAGCCAGAACGATAATTGGGGGCCCATATTCATATATTTGTCTTCTGCTTTATTAATTTCTTTTGAAATCAATTGTTTTTGTGGTATGTGAACACGAATATATGAATATGCCCCCCACCCCCAATCGGTACTTTGAACATTGCTTTGAATAATTTAATTTTTATATATTTAATATTTTTTAAGCAAAACAAGTGTTTGTTGACTTTACTTCTATAAAGAATTTTTTTCTTTTAAATTAGTTTCGTCAAAAAAATATATAATCTGATAGAAGGACAAGTTTTTATCTTCGTTCTTTCGGCATTATTTTTTTTTCAAAGAAATATTTTTCAACCAGACTAACCAGTTTAAATATAAAAAGTGTAAATCTAACCTGTAAACAGTTGCTGGGAGTTTTTTCATTGCGTTTTATTGCTGTTAAGGCTATAATAAGCAAATAACATGCAGTTTTATCGTTCGCAAAACTCCGTTAATTCGCATAATTCCGGTAATTCTTAACAGTTAATTTAAAAATTCGACTTAACTTTCGCTTTGCTTTACAACCATAACAACCGTTAGAAATTTGTTATCAGTTACTCTCTCATTGTTCTATGTTTTTACGAAAGAGGGTTTTCAATTTAAATCTTTCGTGTTAGTTGAAAGGAGATATAGGGAGAGTTAAGAAATTGGTTGTGACCTCTGGAAAATGTTAGCGTGACTCTAACTTAACCCTCCGAAATCCGATTCAGCTTTCCCTGTAAAAATCCTTGTTTTGTCAACATATCCAAATAAATTTACAGATTTTACACCGGCAGATAAAAGGTGACGTCGCGCGCTATCGCGTGAGGCGCGAGCTTGACAGCTCCACGTTTTATGCAAGATCTACCTGGAACACATAATAATCTGTTAATTGCTAGTGGGGCTGTTTGGATATTTGTGGAAATAGTTTATTTTTACCGCAACGATAGACTTTTAAAACTTCAGATGGAACCGTTTAATTATTACGCAATCATACGACGCACGCGACAACATTATACGTCAATGTAACAAGTTCAAATTACAATTATAACTTTGATTAGAACTGTTTCGAGAATTGGGTAATTTGGTTCTTTCAATTAGTCAATCTAGACAAACCTCAAGATGTATAAATTCGTCGTTCTGGTTGTCTGGTTCTGTAATCCAACGACGCAAAATGGCTCCTTGCATGTGTTGTTATGGACCACCTGATAGTAACGATATGTCTGATCTTAGATCTTTTGCTGATAATTTATTTCTTAGTCAGAACAAGATCGTTATTACCAGCGACACCAAGGGCGCGAAAAAAAGGTTTTTGATTTTGCAAGGTTCAGTGAAGTTTTTTTGTTTTTCACTATATCCGTTTTCACTACGCCCAAAAAAGCGTGTTGAAATTTTTACCCTCGCGCGTGGCGCTCGGGCATGCATCGAGTCTACTCAGTTTATTATTAGGACATAATATGTCGATGCATACCCGAGCGCCACGCGCGAGGCTAAAAATTTCAACAACCACTTTTGGGCAGCCTATGCTATATCTTGCAAACTTAATTAAATTTGTTTAAAAAGTTTCCAGAAGTACAAAACGCTCTTCATGACTTGCCCGAAAGTGGCCGCCACAAGAAAAAATGAATTTCTATATTACTAATGATTTACGCCTTCACTCACTGCTTAATATATTTGAATATGTTGTGGAAAGTTCACTTTTTCCCTTCATTTTCTCAGAGACGGCTTAATTCAACCACAAACGCTTCGCAAAACGTTTTAAAATGTTCTCAAACCTAAACGGCCTTTTATCGAATTATCGATAAACATTGAGTTTGAAATAAGCTGATTTCAAATCCTCGCATGAAAATAACTTTGCGTTCCTCTTTATTTAAATACTTTAATATACAAAAGAAAAGGTAATTAATAAAACTACACTGAAATTATATGCTGTCTTTTTTCACTTATATAATATACCCAATGATAGGTTTAGTTCGATATTCGCCGTATCGCCCACGACATCAGTTATAAATATATCAATTATAAGACAAACAATATATCAATATTTAAAACAGACTTACCTTCGTTAACGTCGGCGACTTTGCTCTAATCTTTTAGATGTTTTTAGATGTTTTTGGCTCTCAGAAATTAAGGTTTTGAAATTTACAAAATCTTGCTAAAATACAACTGGCAAGAAATGTACTTTATCATATACTCAAAGGCCGTCGGGTTTTAAAAAAATTATAAAATAAATATTTAAAACAAACTTACCTTTGTTAACGTCGGCTCCCTTCTTTTAGCCCATTCTTTAGTCTTTTCTTTCTTGAAATTTACAAAATCTTCCAAAAATGCGAGCAAAAATAAGATATATTTGCAAGTAATTTATCAATCATCAAATCAAGAAATGTTTGCTGTTTCGCTGTCGTCATGCAGTCGTTATAATGCAAACTTTAAATTGGACCATTCAGTGTCCGCTAGCCATATATTTGAGATCAGTGAAGATGACCACCCACGCACAGTGACCCACGCCCGCGATATTTGATGAACTTTAGACTTCGCTAATGCTTTCGCTTCCCTGGGTGTAAATAGCCGGGGGGGATTAGAACCCTCGCAGGGCGCTTCGCGCCGTCGGCTCGGGGATTATGACGTTTTTACTAAATTAAACATTCTTAACACTGAAAAAAATTAATGACTTTTTTACTAGTTTATTTATGTTTCAATACCATTTCATGAATAATTTACCAAAACACTTTACCAACTACTATGTGACTAACAATGTAGTAACATAATACAAGAAACGCTTCCAAACTACATAAAACATATTTGAGAACGAACTATGTCAAACACTCGCTTCACAACAAAGGTTTACACGTCGTCTGGAATGAGCTAAAACTCGATTTGAAAAGTATAAAATCTTATAGTATGTTCAAGAAAAAAAACAAAAAATTATTTCTTGCAGTTGCATTCGGAAACATAGGGTTGGCCATATTTGCATAAGACATATCTTCTCTCTCAAGAAAAATCTTCTGCCATTGTATATATCTTATTATCTTATCTTCTTTTTTATCAAAAATTAGTTTTACTTCCGCTAATAAATGTAAATATAATTATTGTAAATTTCTAAACTACGGGTCTTAAAACAAAAGCCTTTATATGGTTTCTAGTGGACCTCTAGCCTAAGCTGCGTTGAGTTAATGATACGCGACGAAAACATGTCTTATTTACATAAGAGATCAATTATAACTTTATTTTAATGCTGCTTGTACTGTACTGTACTGTACTGTACTGTACTGTACTGTACTGTACTGTACTGTACTGTACAGTGTATGTCATTGACTTGTCCGTACATGTCCCATAAGTAGAGAATCTTTTGTTTTACGGCTCGCTAGTTGATTAGCAGTTATTACAATATGACTAATTTGAATTTCAAAGACTAGCCTATTTTTTATACACCCTGTGGTAAATACTTCGATCCCCGCTCGGGGCTCAGAAGTGTATTCTGAGCAACAAAGCTAGGGAACAATATGTTTCAATTATTCACTGAAGGGCTTGAATCCGGGTTTATCCATTAATTTAGTTTATTGTACGATCATCCAGATTAATTTTTTTAATTATTTCTGACGTTTCGGCTACCTAAACGGCAGCCATTATCAAAGACGTATTACAGTTACAAAAAAAAATAAAAACATTTACAGTTATAATAATTTTATCTTGCGTCAAAAATGACGTGCGCGTGTTCGTGATGTTGTTTGCTCGCGCCTGCGTTCAAGGCACGAGAGCCTGCGTTCATGCGTGATTAGTCCAGCGTATGCTCCTGGCATATCGCGGCAAATGTTAATGCTGTTTTCATCGCATTTTGTAAACCAACTTTCTAAGAACATTCTCTCATCCTCAAAACTATTAAACTCCATACAAGTGGCTCCCTCCCAATCAATTCTATTATTTGTTTCCATATGATGAACCGCAATTCTATTCGCCACGTCTTGTTTCTCTGTTGATCGCTTATGTTCTTCAATGCGACAATCTAGAGTACGTCCAGTTTCACCGAAATAAGTTTCGGGGCATTCAGCGCAGGTCACTTTATAAACTGTTCCTATCCGGGTCTTTGTATTTGTTGGATCTTTCACTTTCGTTAAAGTATTTCTTAGCGTTACCGTTGGTTTGTGAGCCACACTGATGTTGAAAGGTCGTAGGATTTTTGCAATTCTTTCGGATGTACCTTTGATGTAAAGCCGGTTTTCCACTAGCGATTTTTTTCGCGCGAAGCGACTTTTTTCGCCGATTATAGGGGCGAATTTTGTCGCACAGCTACTTTTTTCGCAAGTTCTGAAAATTCCCGCGAATTACATAACAAAGATGGCGGCAATCAACTTAAGACGTCTTCTGGCTGTAAAGAACAATATAATTCGTTTGCTGTTGCTGGAAAGACGTCAAAAGCGCTTAAATAGGTACAAAAAACGGTTCTCAGTTAGACAGATTTATGCAGAACGAAAACAGAAAGGCGAATATCATCTTCTTGTCAAAGAGCTTATGCTTCATGATCAAGAATATTTTTTTAACTGTTTTCGGATGTCGCCAACTACGTTTGAACAATTACTGTCTTGGATAGGACCACTTCTCCAAAGAGCTACCACTAAAATGCGTGAGCCAATTGGCCCTAGCGAGAGACTGTGTGTTTGCTTAAGGTACTTGGTTACTGGTGATGCCCAGGTTACAATTGCTGCAAGTTACAGGATAAGTGCTGCAGTTGTGGGAAGGATTATCAATGAAACTTGTGAACTGTTGTGGAACACTCTGATTGAAAAAGGTTATGTTAAGCACCCGTCAACAGAGAATGAATGGAAAGTAATTGCCGAAGAGTTTGAGACTTGTTGGAACTTTCCTCACTGTGTAGGTGCCATAGACGGTAAACATGTTTTAATGCAGGCTCCGGGTAATTCAGGATCTGCTTACTTCAACTACAAGAAAACGTTTAGTATTGTTCTTATGGCTGTGTGTAATGCCAAGTATCAGTTTACTTTAGTCGATATTGGAGACATTGGACGACAAAGCGATGGTAGTGTCTATGGTTGCAGTCATTTAGGTTATGCCATTGAGAATAATCTACTGAACATTCCAAGTGAGAGCAAGCTAACTAATTCAGAGAAAGTCCTGCCATACGTGTTTATTGGTGATGATGCGTTTGGTTTAAAAACACACATGATGAAGCCTTTCCCTTCACAAAACTTACCACTTGACCAACGTGTATTTAATTATAGATTGTCGCGGGCACGAAGAGTTATTGAGAACACATTTGGTATAGCAGCCAGTAGGTTCAGAATATTCCGCAAACCAATCATTGCAAATGTGGAGAAGGTTATTTTGGTAACGAAAGCCGTTGTTGCTCTCCACAATTTTCTTATGACAATTAATTCATCAAGGGACAATTATAAATACTGTCCCAGGACCTTCATGGATCAAGATGGACCTTCGGGGTTAAGAGCTGGGGAATGGAGAAAAGATAGAAATGCAGTTTTGGGGTTGCAGCCAATTTCCAGAACTGGTTCAAACAACTATTCAAGAGATGCTGCTTCAGTTAGGCAAGGATTTAAAGATTATTTTGTCTTTGAGGGAGCAGTGGAATGGCAATGGGAATTAGTAAGTCGCACCGTTATTCCCTATGATGCATTTTTGGATAGATTAACTCAACCCATGTAGACCATGTATGTATGAAACTTACTTTACATATAACCCATTTCACTTGTAAATAAAACAGTCAATTCGGAAGAAAGACAAAACAAAGATTTTCAGCCTGGTGATTGTTAGACCTTTGACGTTGCTTTTCAAACTGTTTGATTATACATGAAAGCATGGGTTAAATATAAAGCCTGGTTCACATTAGTTGCAACAATCGGGGATGCTATTGTTTGGGATTGCGATACACAAAGGATTTTACTCGTGAATGATCAGCGACAATAGGCATCTCCGATTCTTGCGACTAGTGTGAACCAGGCTTAAGATTGACCATGCGAATAATAATAACAATAATATCATGTAGAAATATAAAGTATATACTTAATTTTTACAAGATGTAATGTTATGAAAATTATTAAATTAATTAAAAAACACTTAAAAACAGTTTTATGAAAATTGCATAAACCCAACAAAGTTGTAAGTACTAAAGTACCATGAAAATTTGAAGTTTACTAGTAGCTAGTCTTCAAATTCAATGTCAAATAATAGTTGCCTTATTTTAATCATGGCCAACCTCTTTTTTCTCAATGCAAGAGCACTTATGACAGGAATTAAGCTTTTGCAATAATGTGATACTTCATCATCAGTCTCCTCATTTGCTAATGATTTATTGATGGTTTTGTCTGTGTTTTCCAACTGCTTCAAAATGGCCATGTCAATGGCATCTTGACGTGATTTTTGAAATCCATGCCGACTGCTTGTTGGAGGTATTGACATTTGACTAGCCTTTCGTTTTGTAGTAGTAGTAGTACTACTACAGGTGGAATGTGATGGATTTGGTATAGATATAGTAGTAGAGGGTGATGGTGTAACTTGTTGAACAGAATTCTGAGAATAGGTCAAATTACTTTCGGTTGCTTGGTTTGATGTTTTCTCATGCAGAAACTTCATTTGCTCAAAATATTTGCATCTTGGTAATGATGAAGCTGCTGCACCAGACTTTGTCATCCTTTGTCTTTTGTCCAAACATTTTTTTAAATTATCTTTTAGATTTTTTAGTTGTCTTTGCAAGAATTCCACTAAAAAATAAGAAAAAGTATTACAAACTATGAACTAAATAAGAAATGCACAGTATACAAGGTGATATTAGTATTATGTGGTTTGCACTTAACACCATGGCTCCACGATGGCCACTGTATTTTTGTATCATCAATCTCAAGGGATTTATTGCAAACCACCTATAGCAAAGGGAATGGCTAGAGGGAGAGGACTGGTGCATTTTTATCATTGACTACCTCTTTTAGGCTGATTCCTCCCAGTCTATGGTGCAGAAATTGCAGGCCTTTCAAAATAGTTGACATATATTTTGTCATAACCCCCACCCACCTGTCATGCAAGCTCATGTATAGGTCTTCTACCATCACAAGTATATATTATAGAATCAGTTGCATAACAATCTGGGGCTCCTAATTCAAAATTTGGGAAGGCTGTGTCGAGTGCTAGGAGTCCGTCGAGTGCTAGGAGTCCTAGTATGAGTGCTAGATTTCCTAGCGGGTTTCAGAGCATGCTCCCCTGGAAAATTGTGAAATCTCTGATGATTTTACAGTAGTTGTAGTTATGCTACTACATATAAGTGTTCCATATTATATTTGCAGTTAATGACTTGCTGGAGTTGGTGACTACAGAAAATTCTAGATGAACTTCTTGAACTCTAGCATTATTACATAAAAATACCCCCCTTTAAGACATGTATTTAGATTGTAAACACTCCCCAGCATGGCAATTTTCATGGCAAAGGTCATAAAGGGAAATGGGTAGTGTTTATAATCTAAATGAGTGCAAAATATTTCATGCAAGCAAAAAAGGGAGCTTGAGTCAAACAATTTGTTGCATGTCTTAAAGGGGGTGGGCGAATATTTTTTATTCAAATATGCTACAGAAGTGTTCAAGGAGTTCATCTAGAATTTTTCTGTAGATACCGAGAGATTAATATAATATGAAACACATTCTAGGTAGTGGCTTAACTATATACAGTGGTTTGGACATGTATTAAAATCTAGCCTTGACTCCTTTCTTTAAGAAAAAAAAAATCATATTATTTTAATACATTGTTGTCATGGTCAATTTCAACCTGCAGATTACTTGCTGACATTAATTCACTTTCAGCCTCTATATCACTATATGTGCCTTTTCTTTTATATGATATAAATATGAATGATCTATTATATAACAAAAAATACAAACTATTAACTATATAAAAACATAACTATATATAAATCTCACCATCTTTGCTGAATACGATTCCAATCTTGGCCCACACATTCTGTTTAATTGGTCTGTTTTTGTATGCCTCAGAGTTTATATCCCATAGACACCTGTATTTTCTCACTTCTTCAAGAAATAGTTCTTTTTCGAATTCAACAGCAGCAGAGTCCAGTCGCTCCACGGGAGCTTCAGCATCATTTTCTTGAATGGTTTCATCGTCTTCAACTACGTCAGTCAGACCAGGACTGTCTGGACTTGTTTCAACACCCTCCGGGCTCTCCACGTTTAAGTTAAAGTCGGTTTCAGCACTCCAAAAAGTTTGTCGTTCTTCTTGGTCCGCCATTTTGATTGGCTTGCTCCTTTTTTCGCGGCAAAAAAGTAGGATTTGGTCGAACTCGTTTTTTCGCTTTGACGAAGTTTTGTTCGCTTATTCTTCGCTTTGGCGAATTGTTCGAATGACGTAATTGCTAAATGCGCATGCGCATCGGCGAAAAAAGTTGCTTCGTGCGAAAAAAATCGCTAGTGGAAAACCGGCTTTAGGCTGAGTTATCTCAACAACACACAATTCAGTTACACCCCCACCTAAATCTGGCCTATGACAATATGGAACACCGTCACATGCATAAATCATTGTTCCACCGCCTGTTTTTTCAAGTTGATCCTGGCGAACACATGAGTATCCCGAAATATTTACTTCACAGTCTGGTATTTCTGGCTTAAGCCACGTTTCTGATACAGTAAATACATCAAAAGGTTTATCTCTGAGTAGCATTTCAAACGAATCTGTTTTGTTGATAACACTTTGTATATTAATGTGAGCGACTTTTAAACCATGCACCTGGGTAAAATCCTTCATGTTAAATTTAACATTGTGAATTGGGCCAGGATTTGTTTGGATGTCGTTCACACACACCAATAACAATACAAGCAAGAGCCATTTTACCAACCTGCAACCTAGAACAGAAACTTCAGTGCTTGTGAGTTCAAGAGCAGGCTTCGATGTAGCAATAGATACATTGTGAAGGGGAGAGACATCCAACCTTGCTTGATTTAATTCCAAACCGACGAAGAAGGATTTCTTTATGTCGTAGACAAACATCATTGGCCAGGAAAACTGATCCATAGGAACATAAGGTAGCAAAGATTATAGAGCATGACTGCCCAACTGTTGGCCATGATTGATCCGTACGCTTTCTCAAAAGTCACAATCTCAAAAGTCGCAAATAATAAATTTTGGAGAGCTAAAAAAGCATGTCTGCTCGTCACGTCGTAAAAAAGCATGTCTGCTTTGTTTTTGAAATTGTTACATTTTTGGCGGAAAAATAATGTGACAAAATTGGCGCAAAAAAATTATATAATAGATATAGGTTCTCTTCAGAATAAAACTGAAAGAGCATACTGTAAGAACCTCAAATGTGAAGTCCGTTTTGTTATGGCTCAATTCATTGCGAAGATATAGCTAGTTTCTAAAAATAGAACAAAATGGCGGATTTCTTGTATTTTGAATTGATATAACTTCGTAATGAATAGTCATAATTCAAAACGGACTTCATATTTGAGGATCTTATAGTATACTCTTTCAGGTTCATACACAAAATCAGTTGTATCTATTATATAACATTTTGGCGCAAATTTTGTCACATTATTTTCCTGCCAAAAATGTAACAATTTCAAAAACAAAAATATCAGATTGTTAGAAATGATATGTTCTATGTAAGTGCAAAATATCGTAGAAGAAGAATCAATATTGAAGAATTTCTTGTACAGCAAAAATGAACTGGACGTTTCTGAACAAAAAATGCCCAGCGTGATATTTTTAGTGTGTTTTTGAATGAAAATACTTGGCATGCTGTCACAAATTTTATAGCATTATGGTCAATTTCACTAAACGAAGTTGGTTGTGAATTTGGGAACCAGTAGACGTGGTTGCCAAGTTGATTATGAGCAAGTGATTCCGAATGTAATTATCAAATTGTGAAACAAAAAGTTCACAATTTTCCGAATCTTGTCAGAGATAGAAAGCGACGGTGGCGTGAGTGACGGTGGCGTGAGCAAAAGGCACAATGAGTCTGAGTTAGCTAGTTGGATACATGAATTTAAAAGCCAAGTCTCGAACCAAATCAGAGAAAACAGTATACAAAATGCTAAAAGAGAATGGGTTTACTACACACCTGAAAATAAACTCGTAAATCAGGATGAATTGAATATTATGTTTACATATACAAACAAAGGCTTGCCATTGGGTGCCAAAGGTTATTAAGCCACCAACTTGATGTGCTGCGAGATGAGTCCCAACTGGTCCTTAAAAATTCCAAAAAGCTTCATCAAGACCAGGAACATGAAAATATCAAAGTTGATTTGAACAAAAAGATGATTAGCAAACTATTTGTACTACATACATCTGTACGTAGTTACTGTCATATGGATAACAATACCTTGCGGTGGCAGAACAATTTATCCTGAACAAATGTATACATACTGCATGGTATTTATTTATAACTGGTATATTTACAACTAAATATTATATAAGTAGTTTGTTTTCTTCCTTCAGAACAACATTACAACAATAAAAACAGCATGCCAGATCTGAACTATGAGAAATAGAGTTTAACATTGTATCTATGGATTTCGAAATTCATGAACCAGACGCAATTGGAAAAACTAAAACCGTTTGCGGGAATTGCCATTATCGCAGGCAACTAAACCTTGTTTCTAAACAATTGTGTAGATTTTACATACTGCGGTATAAAAGAAAAACACCCAAAATATTTTGTGAAGCTAAATTCTTTTAAGCTTGAAAAGCGAAAGAAAGAAAACAAAAATTTTAGAACTTGAGAATCAAGTCAAAGCGATTGAACAATTTGCAACTACAAGTGAGCATCAATTTATCAAGAACCTTTGCCCTGTGTATGTATAATGTGGACCCATATACAAAACTAATAAATGTAAACTAATGCGTGACATACGTTTACTCCGAGAATCATTAGATGGTAAAATGCCGCCTGTCACACTAACGATGCAGAACAACTTGGTTTGCTAATTGCAAATATTAGAAAAACGAAAGGCATTGCTGCTGACAACAGCTTTTCTTTATTGGAAGATGATTGCCCTACTTGAAACAGTAACAAGTAGGTCGAAACCTATTTTTCTTGAACATATATTAATAAAAAATTATCTAGGCAATGAGATTGACTATTTGCCCCAATAAAATCAGACTTTTATTCTTTTTAAAAAATTTGACATTCTAACACTAGCAGTTGCACTTTCATCAAAATATTAACATGCTTTCTTATGTATAATTGAGGGCAACCTCCGTAGACATCAGCCAGTCAAAAATTACGATTCAAAGAATGCACGACGAATCGCATTTACAACTTTTGTTAGGCAGGAACACAGTCTCTTTTTCAATAAAAAGTGTCAGAAGATCAGTGAATTTGTGAGCTAATTTGTTGTCGAGCTGCTTGCAGCATACTAGTTGATTATCAAGCCACTCGACTGCACCCATGCTTTTGTTTTCAGGTATTCCATGGCAGTTTCCGTACTGACATTTTTAAGCACCTGGTTTCTTGCAATCCTAGTTTGTACCACTCTGCTTCATAATTGCTTTGGCACTCTTCAAGGCATCTTAGAATAATCTGAGGAGCTCGCCTTCCTCTACCAGATTTCGTTCTGTATCGATAGAGCCTTCTGATTGGCTTTTGTTGTCGGGTTCTCTGGTTCTTCCAGTTTGCCGGCTTGTTCTTGCAGTTGTTCTTCTTCGTCACTATCTTTTGCCAACACTTCCTGTGGTGACGACTTTCCGTCTGCCTCCAGCTCGTTCTCTATGTTGTAGTACTGTTGCGCAGTCGTTACAGAGTGTCTGGGACTTTTCAAAGTTCCCTTGAGGTCAGGAGCCACCTTCTTTCCCATCTCTGAAAGACTGTGGCTCACTTGTGACTCATTCAGCGGATTTCCCTTCGTACAAATAAAATACAGCCAGTGTCTCTGGGATTCCCGGCGCTGCCGGTGCAACTGAATTGCTGTTAGCATATATTGGGTGCAACTTGCTGACATATGTCTGCATACCCCCTTCAACTCCCTGTCCCACATTAACTTTGCCAGCCCGCCGGACAAAGTCTTGTTATCCGCCCACACCTCGCTGGCCATTATGAGCAGCAGATGGTCACACATGGTAGAGAGTTGGTTATTTCCTTTGCTTTTCAGCTTTCAGTGAATGACTGGAAATCCTCAGCAAAGCTTGTGAATATTAAAAACTTTTTAAAATTATTGTAAAAAATATATGTTTTTATATAATGTGTCGAAGTATTCAAGATATACGAAAATTAGTTGGTCAATTGAAAGGATTATATCACAATGTCTCTCGCGGTCTAAAAACGATGTGCAAATTTTGAATCGCTCGCTTGAAGCAGCCAAATGTTTACAAATTACAATGTCTAGAAATGTATATTTATGAATGTATGGATTCAGAGTTCCGCTCAATTGTTCAGCCGAGGAACTACAATTTGAGGAAATTATCTGGCATAATTTCAAACACAAAATGAAGAATAGAACGATACATAAGGTATAATTCATTTAACTCATTCTCATCCGGTCGAAATGTAGCAATTTTGAGTGGTGGTGTTTTAAATGCAAATATCTTTCAAACTGCACATCATATGGAAACAGAAATTGCATCGTTCGAAAGAGGAGAACTTCAACTTTCCAACGATACCAATTTCAATTTCATCACAAGTTTGGTTGACATAACTCGCATATATTTGCATAAATTATGATATAAAACAATGTTGCAATTATGCATAAACGTATTTACTGGTGTGGCAGTCTCAATACTCCCCCGGTCTGAGTATTCCTCTATTACTATGCGTATGCGTGCATCAGCTGTATTGGCTCATATAATTTCCCTGCGGTCTGAGTCATCCTCTCTCACTTCAATCGTTGGTGCTTGCAAATCGACAGAGAATACTCTCTTCAAATTCACTTTATCCAAATATTTACTACGCTAAGAGGTCGTTGCTGAAGAAAGCCGAGACTGATGTGAAAACACGAGAACGATGCTTTGATCCGCAACATGAGAACGCATTTTGTATTATATTCGCCATGGAAAACACATGGATGGTTTAACCAAGAATCAACAATGTGTTGTTCGAGGTCAAGCGAAGACCTATACCCTAGATGAAAGTGAGTTTATTTTTCTTGTTATTACAAACAATTGAACTTCATACTATGCTTATTTAATGTAAAGAGCGACAAAACATGTTTGTCATGCATAGCCACAGGGCACAGACGTGATTTTGTGATTCCCCTGAGGAATTCTATTCTCAAAAGTGACTGATTGTGGCTTTTTTGCTGTTGCGGTTGCTTTCAGTCTTCTCATCGCAGAAAAACTCTTGAAGCAGTGTAAGATCTAGGTCAAACTCCAGAGGAGCATGCCAGGCGTGTTGTGCAAATGCATTGCTTAGCTCGTTATTTTGCACAACAATTTGAGCATGATGCTCAGCGCACGTCAGATATAGGTCAAACTCTAGAGGAGCATGCCAGGCATGTTGTGCAAATGCATTGCTTAGCTCGTTATTTTGCATAACAATTTGCTGAGCGAATTGCAAAGGAAGCTGAAACCATTAGATTTGGAGAAAGTTTTGTTTTTAAAAAAGTCTACCTTGGTGTCAGATTCCGGTGAAGTTGACTGTTGTGACTGTTGAAGAGTTCGTCAATGGCAAATTTACCAAATACATCGATAATACGGGATTTCTCAGTGTTCCAGAAGATAATGTGATTGGGTCAAAGAGTGGAAACATTTGTACATTACTCATTTGAATTATCCAAAGGAAAGCTAATGGTGGTTGATATACAAGAGATTGCTTCAGATCAAGCAGTTAATACTGTTGATGAAATGTTTTTTTTGTGCTGGTAATTTGAACGTCGTGGCAATGTCAAATTTCAAATCTCAACATAAGTGCAATATGTTTTGCAAGTTATTGCACTTAAAAGAATTGTATCAGTCTGAGTGAAACATTGTTTTGTTTAACTTGAAATTGACTGTACTTTTTGACATTTTATAAACATTTAATTTTAAAACTTGATTGGATTGGTTGGTTAAGCAACATACATTGTATTGGCCATGTTTTTATACCCAATCAACAGCTGAAGATGATATTGATATAATATTGTTGTTAATGTTCGATGTTTGAGAATTAGCCTCTGTCACGATGGCGAATATCTGCCATTTTTCGTAAATGAATGTAAACAATTATACAGTGTTAAAAGCAATTTTTCCGAATAAACTAACAATTTACAGAGCAAATTAACCATCATAATGATTGTATAATAAGTCATTGGCACAAGGGTTTATGTCTTACACTCGCAGGCTAGCTTGGAAAAAAAGTACCCCAAAAATGGCGGCGTGAGAAAGGCCAATTAGGTGCATTGCAGTTCACTCAAATGTTTCTCTGTTAAGTGGTATTATGGTTTATATTATGTTAACTGTAAAGTTGTTAAATGCCATTATTATCTTCCAGAAATTTTGTCTCTAAGAAAAAGATAAGCATCAACGCAATCATTTGCTGCTATTTCATTTGCATCATGAATGTGTTGCTGGAATTGATTACGACAATCCATTTCTAAGAAATCATCTGAGCATTCAAGTACACCAGACTGGGAGGCTACATCTTGTAGGTCCTCTTCTGTAACTTCCCAACGTTTATTTGTAAGAAAAAATACATTAAATTTATTGCATTAGAAAATTCAACAAAATATGTTTTTCTTTAAAATAATAGACTTCATCTTACTCAGCACAAGCTTCTAGATTGTAATGAGCTGGAAAGTTATATATATGGTCTGGCACTCCATTTGGAAGAAAAGTATCTTTTTGTGGTCTTATTCTGTGTGTATTCACATATTCATGAATGTTTGCATCTCTCTCTGTAAAACTGGAATAAATATGAATGCCAGTATCTTCCTAAGAAGAAAAATGTGTTATCATTAGATACTACAATAAGGTTTGCAAGTCAAACCTGCTGTAATGAAAATAATTTATCAAACATGTTAATTTTCTTTTATTGATATATATTAACTTTTTCAGCTCAATTAGATGTGATAAGTGATTGCCACAATTAAAAGATTCAAATTAAAATAATCAATACTAGCATGCTAACTTTAAGTACATTCACAGTGACCCCAGTTAATCCCAGATCATGTAGCCCATTGGGATTATGTAAACAACCCACTGAGATTATGTAAACAGCCCATTGGGATCATGTAAACAGCCCATTTGAAATATAAATCTCTGGGATATCAGGGCTGCTTTTGATAGTTAATTACCAGTAATATTAGATATTGCTCAAGTGCATTTTCAGGTTGATAATGACGCTGATCTTTAAACCACCTCGATTGCTGCTTGTAATACTTTTCCAAGTGATTGTGTAATTCACGCCACCATCTTTCTATCTGTAATAAGACATGTATGTAAGAAATTTTACAGCTAACAACCACAATTATTTGCTGACAAATTGATTACTTGATTGGATGTAGATTTGCCATAAACAACGGTATCTTCAGGATTAACATCACCATGATTCCTTCTCAAATATGCATGTGAAGTTGCCATATCACCAGTTTCCATACCCTTGTCTACCCTTATTATTGATGCTATAACCCTTCGATCATACAAATAGTCAAAATACCAACAAGCAACTAGTTTAGGGTCACAATTATCTGTCCATACTTGCAACCAAAGCAACCTCCTACTTGCTGTGTCCATATAACCATATACAGCAAGTGTAAAGGTGAATCGCTGGTATCCCAGTAATTTACAGTGTCCATCAAGAGACTGTACCCAATCGACACCTTTAGTCGTAAAATGGCCCTTCTTTTTTCTTTGATTCAAGAGCTCAACCTTCCAAACCAGCTTGATCTAGTTCAGTCATAGTTGCGTACACAACATCTTGCGGCACATTTAGCTTGTGTTCTTGTCTTATTTTCTGATGCATTGCTCGGTAACCCAACTGTTTATTTATTTATTTAACTTTACCAATAAACATTAAAACACAGAAAATACATATATGGACAATGGCAATGAACACGCTACAGCTTACGCCAAATACAGCGGCCTTTACATATAAGATACAACATCACAAACACATTAACTAATAACAAAACGATACTTCACAGGACAGATTACAGGACCTGTTACAGGACAAACATATTGGTTTCCATGTTTTTGGATCATCCATGTTGTAGACCGTTTGTAATGCTACTTTATAGTACATAAAAAGTCCATTTTTTAACTGACTAAGGCTGGTGTTATTGCCTGTCAAGTTCTTTGACAGAACATTCCACATTCTGGTACATCTATTTAAATAGGACTTTTGGAATGTGGTTGTCTTGCATCATGTTGTCGTGAATGACAAATGGTCAGGATCGAATGATATTGTTTCCCTTTGGCTGTTGACACTTGTTGGTTGGCAGGAAATGTTCGTCAATTCTCATTAGTCCATGAATTAGTTTATAGAACACAACCATGTCCAGAAATTCATGCCAGTAGCTCAATGGAATAAGCCCTAAACATGAAAGTCTCTGGTTGTATGTAGTTTCACAATGGAAGGGTAGATCCAAGACGTACTTAGTCTCACATCATTGAAATCTTTCTGTGGGTTGGATTAGATTGACGGTTTGTGCTGCCCAGATTGGTGAACCATAGCATAGCTGCGTACGAACGAGAATCAAGTATAGAGTGTAGCGAACTGCAATGTCTTTGATGTTGAACGTTGATCTACAAATGTATCCTGGGGTCTTGGAGGCTTTGGCGCACTGGTACTCGACATATTTAGACCAAGTTAGGCTAGATGAAGTTAATATCCCAAGATCACGCTCACTGTCGGTGCTTTCTAGAATGGTGTCATTATTTACCGGGACCATCTAATTCTTTTCGGACTGCTTTTATATTGTTCAAGGTCACCCCCAAGTATGTGTAACTGATTCCACTGTGTTGTCGACACAAGGTTTGCAAGCTCCAAGTATACTGATTAAAGTCTCGCTTCATAAAATCAAGGATCTCTAACCACCGAATACCTTGGTTCACATAAACTACTAGTTTTTCTTTCAGTTCCTTGTCTTCTTTCCAAGCATCGTTTCGAAAATAATTGCCCGCCATATTGGAATTTTAATTTGAGCAGGAAGCAAAATAGAACGTGTGCTGAGCATCATGGTATATTGTGGCACTTCTAGGCCATGGGGCATTTTCAATTTGCTTTGGTTTTTTAATTATTTTAAAACTAATTCATTCACATTGGTTTTTTCTTGAAAAATAAATTACTTTTCTTTTATTTTTTATTATTTATTTTTGTTGTTTATTTTTATTTATTAATTATTATTTTTGTTTTTTTATTTTTAATTTTCATCATTTTATTTTTTAAAAATGAAAAATTTTGCAAATAGTAAAAATAAATTGTCAATCGCACTCTTAGGCCACCATAGAACTCTCTTCCTTTAGAAAAAAGTATATATATATACAATATATACAATATACCGGGTGTCCCAAAAAAAAGTACTCCGGTTTGATTTATAATAACTTCTAAACAAGTAAAGCTATCAAACAGAAATAACTTGCATTGAATAGAGGAAGGACTAACTTAGATTTTGATATATTACAGTTGTATTTTACTTAAAAATTCACGGAGATATTAATGTTCAAAATCGGGAGCATATTTTGGGATGTGTCTAAAATTAGCAAAAATCGGCATATCAAATATTAACTCCAGCGTTTGTTTGTTTAATGACATATCAGGCTAACTTGTATTTCAGCGAATTGTCGTCAGGGATTGTATAAGGATATGGCGTAGATTTAGACATCTTACATCTAAGCTCATTGTTTCCTGAAATATAAACGTTCGTATTATATTACGAAATATAAACGTAAAGTATTTAATAGGTCTTTAATACCAACTTAAAGGTAGATGAAAGACCATTCAAGGCAGGCGCTTAAATTTTTCTCAAATAGCCTATATTTTTTATGCTTTTCATGGGTTGAAAACAGAGTTGAATATTTCTCGATTAGAGCAGGATGAATATTATTTTTTAATGAAGGAAATAATACTGCATTTTGCAAATACACATCACAGTATCAACGCTACTATTTTGTTACGTTTTGTTCCAAAAATGTTGGATGTCTCTGGGGAGTTGCTTGTTATGTCTTATGGAGTTGTATGGTTTGATTGTGTTTCATTCTTAGTTTATTCTGAACTTGCCAAGATTAAGAAAAAGCAAAAAACATTGAGTGTTCTTAACAAGATTTCAGAACGTTGCAAAAGTTAGAAGAGCTTCACAATTCCATTGTGACAGCATCCCCTAATTCAGAACACGAACGATCCATGACGATCCTTCGCGATGCAGTCAGTGGTCTTATGAAATAAGGAAACGTACTCGTGCTATAGGAACACACGCGGATTTCGGACGAATAAATCTTCCTTGTATTTTGTAGATAACAATACTTTGTTTCATAATAAACAATTTGTCAAGTGTCATTTATTTACTGGTAATAGTGCATGTTTCAGTCGGGCAAATCTTGATTAATATTTGATACCCCGTTTTTTGCATATTTCAGACACATCCAGAAATATGCTCCCGATTTTAAACATTAATATCTCCGCGAATTTTTAAGTGAAATACAAGTGTAATATATCAAAATCTAAGTTAGGGCTTCCTCTATTTGATGCAAGTTATTTCTCTTTAAAAGCTTTACTTGTTTCGAAGTTATTACGAATCAAACCGGAGTACTTTTTTTTGGGACACCCGGTATATATATATATATATATATATATATATATATATATATATATATATATATATATATATATATATATATATATATATATATATATATATATATATAATATATCTTTATATGTATGTGAATAATATAGATTATAGTCCATACAGTGGAAATGTTGAAATTTGCATGTAAGACGAGCATATTTCAAGTTAGCCTCAACCTCGAATATTGTATATCTTCAGCTAGTACTCTGGTTTCCTCGTGTTGTGAGATCCTTACATACTGAACCATTTTACAGGCCTGGTAGAGCATTTGCTGGCTTTCTTTGTGTAACAGAATAAGCTAGTACGAGCGAGTAGAAATAGGCGTGAATCTTGGTTCCCAAATATTATTTAACACGAACGAAGATCCATTTAAAATTTCATTCTAAGTGATTTCATTCATATGTGATCGATTCTTTGAAAGAGTGTTTCCAGGATGGACAGCCCCCCATATAGCGTAAATATTCAAAAATTCTAATAACATCGTACATGATAAAATGCGTTTTCGAACGGATCGTATTCGGTCATTTACTCACATAGTGTGTTCTTTCAGACCAAAGTCCTTGGCGACGTGGACGACCAACTTCTCCAACTACTGGAGCACCTAAAATAGATGATGGTAAAGGTATAATAACATTCAATATCAAGATATAGTCTGGAAGCTTTCCATATTCTATAGTGTCTATACACGACCGGAAATTGCATAGATGAATAATCATGCCGCTGAGCAATCATTGCATTACATTGTGGGCTAAATCAAGAATTTTTCCGCGCTTTTTAGTTTTGCTATATTTCGACGTACTTGTGGCGAAATACGACTCAAATTGTATGTTTTTAAAAACAATTTCTAATTATATGCTTGAACATGCACGCTTTCGTGGGTTTTTAACCTTCTCTCAATCTTGAAATTTTAGCAATAAATCAAAAACTTTGCCGACTGTATTTTGAAGTAATTATTTTTAATTAGCAGTATCCCTCATTAATATTCAGTATACGCCAGCATATATATGCATTATGCTTGTGATGTTTCTTTGAGTGTATATCCACACCGTGCATGCTTGAAAAATATGCCTGACCACGGTGGGAATCGATCCTACGACCTTTGGAATACTAGCCCAATGCTCTGCCAACTAAGCTACGCGGTCTGGTCGGTTCGAGTATATATATATGTGATATTTCGGAACAGAATCTAGTTCTTTCGATATCAATGTTATCTAATAATAATCATGATTTTTCTGTGTTGGTGAACTCAGGTGAATATGATGCTTGTGATATTACTCTGAGTGTATATCCACACTGGGCAAGCTTGAAAAATATGTCTGACCACGGTGGGAATCGAACCTACGACCTTTGATTGTGATGAACTGCTTTTTTATGTTGAAACGACTTCACCACGAGAACAAGTCTAAATATTTTGCTCATGAACAGTGCGATAATATGTTTGACAGGATATATACCGTTAGGAAATGTCAACTGCTCCAAAAAGGTCGACTAATCTGAAAACTCCGCAAAATTTGTGACAATTTTATCTTAGTATGGGTAGCTTGGGGTCTTCTGGTATCTCTATCACCAAATCATTCTGAAAAGCAATTTTTCTAGTGCAGCAGGGCTGTTTTCAAAATGGCTTGCGCACAAAAACAGTAGGTTTGAAACGTAATTTGAATTCATATTATGCCAATTCAGAAGGTATATATTTTATGTACTATCAAAGTACCATGCAGACAATTTGATGTACATTAAGTCCAACGTACCGCTAGGACTTGTTTGCCTTTTACGCATAATTTTTAAAATTTTTGTAAAGAGTATGGAAAATATCAATCATGCATAGAATCAATCATATTATGCGTGAAAAGCTATACTATGGCAAAAAAGTCCAAGTTTTAGAGGTCGTGTGTTAGGACTTAATGTAGGCCCTACATCAAATTGTATGGTAATTTGATAGTTCATAAAACATTTTCAAGTTTGCGGCCTATGAAATCAAATACAGTTTAAAACATTTTTTGGCGCAAGACATCTTTAAAATGGTTTTGGAAAAAGCCCTGCTGCACTCCAAAATTATTTTTTAGAATAATTTTGTGATAGAGAGCACCCCTTTTTAGCGTAAATATCCACAAATTCTCAGTAAAAATACCGTGAATGATAAAATGTGATTACGAACGGATGGTCTTCGGTCATTTCAAAATTCATATTCACCTAAGTACACAACACCAACACAGAAAAAATCATATTACTAGATTACATTGGCATCGAAGGAACTAGATTCTGTTCCAAAATATCACTTACTCGAACCGACCTGACAGCGTAGCTCAGTTGACAGAGCATTGGGCTAGTATTCCAAAGGTCGTAGGTTCGATTCCCACCGTGGCCGGGCATATTTTTCAAGCTCGCCCAGTATGGATATGCACTCAGAATAATATCATTTACTCACACAGTGTGTTCTTTCAGATCATCGTCGTTGGCGACGTGGACGACCATCTATACCAACTACTGGAGTACCTAAAATAGATGATAGTAAAGGTATATTAATACTCAATATTAATAAGATAATGTCTGAAAGCTTTACATATTTTATAGTGTCTATACACATCCGGAAATGCACAGAAGAATAGTCATGCCGCTGAGCAATCATTGCATGACGTTGTGTACTCAGTCAACAGTGCGATAATATGTTTGACAGGATATATACCGTTGGGAAATGTCAACTGCTCCAAAAAGGTCGACTAATCTGAAAACTCCGCAAAATTTGTGACAATTTTATCTTAGTATGGGTAGCTTGGGGTCTTCTGGTATCTCTATCACCAAATCATTCTGAAAAGCAATTTTTCTAGTGCAGCAGGGCTGTTTTCAAAATGGCTTGCGCACAAAAACAGTAGGTTTGAAACGTAATTTGAATTCATATTATGCCAATTCAGAAAGTATATATTTTATGTACTATCAAAGTACCATGCAGACAATTTGATGTACATTAAGTCCAACGTACCGCTAGGACTTGTTTGCCTTTCACGCATAATTTTTAAAATTTTTGTAAAGAGTATGGAAAATATCAATCATGCATAGAATCAGTCATATTATGCGTGAAAAGCTATACTATGGCAAAAAAGTCCAAGTTTTAGAGGTCGTGTGTTAGGACTTAATGTAGGCCCTACATCAAATTGTATGGTAATTTGATAGTTCATAAAACACTTACAAGTTTGCGGCCTATGAAATCAAATACAGTTTAAAACATTTTTTGGCGCAAGCCATCTTTAAAATGGTTTTGAAAAAAGCCCTACTGCACTCCAAAATTATTTTTTAGAATAATTTTGTGATAGAGATAGTGATACCAGCTAGAAGACCTCAAACTATATTCATACTAATATTAAGTTTAGTGGACATCTTAGAAATGTGCAGTATTTTACACCCTGTAATATACTATATTTAAAACTACTAAATATGTTATTTTTCTTTTCAGTTTTCCCAGATGGATGTCGTTGCAAAGGCCAGACTTCGCCATTTACTATATACGCTAAACCAGGAGAACAGACGGCACTGGTTAGGTGGCCAGAACCAGAAGTGACATGCACTGAATATATGAGGAAGGAGGTCAATCCACCACGTACTTCCCCATCGAATTTTACCTTGGGCCCACATAAAATTACTTATTCGTTTTGGTACAAGGGTCACGAGCAAGATTTGAAATGTTTTATCAATTTCACTGTTGTTGGCAAGTGACAAGGATATGGATCAAGTTACAAGTGGTTACTGTTTGAATTTTAAAGTTTAATTTGTCCATTTGTCTAAGCGTGTTGAAAGAAAGGAGTCATAACATTTTGTCGTACTAATATTTGTAAACCATAAGGCATGATCATTTTCAGTAACAGTACACCATAATTAGCCGGGGGCAGTTTTAGTGTAAACTATTTCTAGTAGTTAATAAAGTTAAGACAAGGGTTTGTGCACGGGGAGGTATATGTAGTTCAACATCAAACAAAAGTCTTCTATTTTGTGGCTTTGGAGTTTGCCGGGCCTCCAGATCATCACATCTTGACAGACTATGTTCAAAATGTGTATTTAATGTGACATTTAAATAAGTGAATTTATTTCGCCAGCGATTTATACACGAAAATTCACTCGTGCATCTTTTTACTCGAAACCATACTATACTAATCATGTTTGTAGAGAATTGGAGTTTCTTCATTAAATGAAATACAGTTTATTAATTAGTGCTGCAATGTTATATAATAATAATTGTTCTATTATTACTAATTGTTGATTATCTGACTAAAAGTATTGAGGAACAGTTAAAATAAATTTTATCTGGATTAACATTGCCTTATTAAATGTTTCCATGCAACACTTATAGCGTCGTGACGAAGTAGAAGCATGGACATGCTCTCCCAGAAAATTGTAAAATTTAGAGTCTCCAACACAAAGTTCTTTGGGTGTCACCCCCACCCCAGAATTTACGACCCTGCATGCATATACGTTTATGAACAAAAGACTTTTTGCACAATTTGCTTAGCGAGGATTAAACATAACAATTTCTCTCCGAATAGTAGTTGCCCCTAAGCAAATACCATACAAAGAACCATGTCCACGAGTCGACAGTCCGGGTGGACATGCGGGAACAATAGCTCCACCGCAATTTTTCCAGCCATTTCGATTTCCTCTATGCTGCGCGCTCCAGGGTGAACTATTTTAACTAATTCATCCAGTGTAAATGAAGTCAGTGATGCATGACTTTTACTGCGCCTTTAAGAAGAACAATTTATAACTAATAGAGTCATCCAATATATATATATATATATATATATATATATATATATATATATATATATATATATATATATATATATATATATATATATATATATATATATATATATACGCGCGCAATTTATGAAATTATGTACATGCATAAGCAAGCGAGTATCGTCAGCAAACATCAACAAACTGACATTCAGAAGCAAAAACTGTTGCCTGATGATTGCCTTTACGGCATGAAACTCGGAGTAGCAACAAAAACATTTTAAGTATTAATAAATCGCTCTATTTTGTAATATTGAGCACTCTTCACTACATATACGTTCAAAGAAACTGAATTATATATATATATATATATATATATATATATATATATATATATATATATATATATATATATATATATATATATATATATATATAAAACAAATTATTACAATCCGGAGAACACTGTATAATTTTGTAAAAATTATAATTTAATATATATATATATATATATATATATATATATATATATATATATATATATATATATATATATATATATATATATATATATATATATATATATATATATATATATATATATATATATATATATATATGAAGTACATCGTGTGAAAATTCTCTGGTCTGGTCAGTCTTAATCGAAGTGTCAATAATCCTTCTCAATTTTCTAACGAAGAAAACTGACAAAGCTCAGTTACTCTTCAAATAAACTTTGAATTAATGGTGAACACTCGTGGGAAACGCTAGCTTGCTATATGAAGACCAGTTATTCTGCTTCATATAATAAGACGAAAGGCCACGTACTATATTGATAAATTTCTATCCATTTTACATTTCACTGGTAACTAGAAATTACTACATTTAAGAAATTATTAGAACCTCTTCTACTATGTCACCAGGACCACACCAAATTTCAATTAAAGGCCGTCTAGGTAAATTTTACTTTGATTAGTAATCAAAGTAAAATTTTCATTAGGGAATCATATTTAGTATATATGGTAGAAAAATGTTCAAAAAACCATGCTTGCATGCATGAGCAAGAATTACTAGAAATTATTAGAACTTCTTGTATGTCCTCAGCACCACAGCAAAATCTCAAGTAAAGCACTTGTAGATTAATTTAACTTTAAAGAAATCATATTTAGTATATATGGTAGAAAACTGTTTAAAAAACCATGCTTGAAGGAGCAACTTCTATAAACTATTACACTAGCACAAGCCAAACCAACACAAAGCTCTTGAAAATACTCAGACAATCAGTGACATTGAAAATTGGGACACTAATTATAATATTGAAAGGTCGTTCTGCATGTAAATTGTGTAAATACTTCCTTACTATATAGAAGATTCCTGAAGAGTCTCTAAAACGCCAGTTCATGCACTTTGGGGGAATATTTTACCAAATTTTGAAGGTCAAAAATATAGACGTATATTAGAAAAACAAATTTTTAAAATGGCTCAAACTGTGGGCTCTTTTCTTCTGACTCAACATGATTTGAATCTATTTTTGCCCAACAAATCATTTAACATTTAATATACTTGCCCGACAAAATTGCTTTTAAATTTTTCAAATGTTAGGGGACATTACATGCAGCTAATGCAGCTGTCCAGTGTAAATGAAGTCAGTTATTTTAGTTTAGTTTATTTTAGATTTTCTCAGTGCATGGAAATAATAGACCAACAAGGGATGCGTGACTTTTACTGTGCCATAAAGAACATTTTTTAATGGAGTTATCCAATATAAATCCAGTACAAATATAGAGTCACCTTAGTTATAAGTCTAGAAAATTCTATAACTTTTTGATATTGTGTGAAAATTCTGTGGTCTGATCAGTCACAATTAAAGCATCAATAATCCTTCTCGATTCTCTAACGAACAAAACTGACAAAGCTCAGTTATATACTCTTTAAATAAACCTTGAATTAATGGTGAACAACCGTGGGAAACGTTAGCTTTGGTCTGAAGACCATGCAGTGAAGATGTGACCTTTATCTTCTTCGAAAACAATATTATTTACGAACGAGCGCAGCGAGTGAGTAAAATATAGTTTTTAACACGAGAAGATAAAGTTATATCTTCAAGCCACCGCGTATACAATGTTCTGTTTAATATATAGTCCCAAGCAAAAAATTGTGAAATTTCATGCTCAAAAGCAAATTGGAGAAAGTCACGTGATCGATATTTTCACTAGTGAAGATATAGAAAATATCTCACTGTGTATTTTTCAGTATCTCATTCTCTACTATATAATAAAATATATTATGTATTCACTTATAAGTACTATTTGCAACATGAGCGGCCCTGTTGTATCGGATATACAAACCCGAAGGCGAGAGTTTGTATATCCGATACAACACGGACGCGAATGTTGTAAATGGCTTAAAAAACGACTCATCCTATGAGTTCATTGGCGAAGTAATTTTAAAAATAAACGTTGTCTAAGCCGAAAAAATCAAAGTTAAAGTTTATGTCAATCAACATGAATCTGTATCACATATACAGATACGACACGCTTATGATTTTTCTTTGTGTTTTCTTCATGAATTATAAATGAGTTTTTTAATGATTATATTTATAATTAGTCTCCTACGCATATACCTACTTGTATAGAAGGTTCCTGAATACCATGAAATTCTGTGGTCTGGTCGTCAGTCAAAATTGAAGTGTCAATAATCCCTTTCGATTTTCCAACGAACGAAACTGACAAAGCTCAATTACTCTTCAAATAAACTTTGAATTAATGCTGAACAACCGTGAGAAACGTTAGCTTCCTCTGAAGACCAAACATTCTGTTTTATACTAAGAAGAGAGGCCACTATTGATAAATTTCTATTCAGGCAATGTTTATCTTTCACTTATAACTAGAAATGAAATTACTAGAAATGAAATTACTAGAAATTACTAGAACCTCTTCTATGTCACCAGCACGGTAGAACCACAGCAAAATCTCAATTATTAATTCCGCACTATAGGAATTAACTAAAATTGTACTAAAGTAATACTTTCTGCCAAGTCCATCTTCCTTCGCAAATAAAGCCTTATACAATTAAATTAATATTAGATTAATGTATTAAACGTTTTAGGATCCCCATTATTCCGAATTATGTTATGACACAATAAAAAATCTACATTATTCTTATAACTATAGTCTCCATGAATCAAATTAAGTGCCAAATTGACTTTTAATATACTGTAGAATACACTGCAACAATTAAATTAACAAAGCACTGTTATCCAGATCGAATTTTGGATATAAATAAAATAATGCATGAATATCCTGTTTTGCCAGGGTGGTGGATATGATGGGATGAGTAGTTGATGTATGTAATGAATTGAAATCAAGTTTAAAAGACATTAACAATATTTTCTACTGAAACCAGTCATCGGCGCATAACTATAGTGAAACCAACGAAAACATATATAGTCTTGTTTTTAATAGCACCTATCTTGGCATGCTACGTGCAAGCAAGAAAATGTATGGAACATATTACTTTTTCTTATTTACTTACTACCATAACATTGTAAATATCATGTGCTGTAGCCGAAATATTTCTCAAAAGCATCTTTATTCCATTTAACTGTAAATAATTAAAATGTATAATTTAGAGCTCTTATAATAACAACCCTGTAAAGGTTTTTAGAATGGGTCTGTTGCTATTTATACAAATACCAACATTTTCCGAAAATAATCAACGGAAAGGCGAAATTTCTGCTCATGCACTGTGTAAATGAAAGAAGCTTAAATCGTAAATAAATCGTGACTCATTGGAACGCGTTTTGAGTGGACTTTTCCACCCAATTACCGCATGAACAAGTGCGTAGATCCGCTACGCACAATTGTGAACGCAAAATAACGGTAATATTTTAATGGTCTTTCATTTTAAATGTTTGCTGGTAACAAGCATACATTCTGAACTGAACCCGCGAACAGTATAAAATCAGGAAGACTGCAGCCGTTTGTCACTCGACGAGAGAAGAGCTCGAGAACAGATCTCATTCAACAAGCAAGAGAATTGAAATACTGAAGTGAAATATACCTCTGAAGATGATGTTGCAGCGGTTGACACTATTGACGCTGTTTGTTCATAGCAGTTTAGCTTTAGCGCTATATGATGATATCAATGGTATGTAGTGTTATCACATTATAAAGCACTGTAAAGCACTGTAAGGCACTGAATGGCACAGCTTAATTGGCCCTGAATCTCTTTCTTATTTTGGCACTGACACTGTATTTCGAAAGTGCACTGCTCGTAAAGCCAACCAGAATTGAGTTATTTTTTCATATATATTATCAGGGGAAGTGATTGGGACTGGAGTTTATTTTCAGCAGTATGCAGATGTCTGCTGGTAATTTGCGTATACATTTATGGTAATATTTCCATCGAGTATATCTCAAGTTCACCTCAACCGCACATTCATGCAGTAGTATTTCTTCAGCCAGTACTCCGGTTTCCTCTTGCTGTGGAATGTTTACCTCTATACATGTAGGGAGAGCTTTTGTCAGGCCTGATAGAGCATTAGTTTTCTTTGCTTAACGGAATGATCTAGTACGAGGGAGCAGTAGCCTAGAAATAAGAGTGAAGCTTGGTTGCCAAATATTTTCTCATTCTAAGTGATTTCATTTCCATTTTATTGATTTTTGAAGGAGTGTTTCCGAGATGGAGAGCACCCCTTTTTAGCGTAAATATCCACAAATTCTCAGTAAAAACACCGTGAATGATAAAATGTGATTGCGAACGGATGGTCTTCGGTCATTACAAAATTCATATTCACCTAAGTACACAACACCGACACAGAAGAAATCATATTACTAGATTACATTGGCATCGAAGGAACTAGATTCTGTTCCAAAATATCACTTACTCGAACCGACCTGACCGCGTAGCTCAGTTGGCAGAACATTGGGCTAGTATTCCAAAGGTCGTAGGTTCGATTCCCGCCGTGGTCGGGCATATTTTTCAAGTTCGCTCAGTATGGATATACACTCAGAGTAACATAATTTACTCACACAGTGTGTTCTTTCAGATCATCGTCGTTGGCGACGTGGAGGACCATCTATACCAACTACTGGAGTACCTAAAATAGATGATAGTAAAGGTATATTAATACTCAATATTAAGATAATGTCTGGAAGCTTTACATATTTTATAGTGTCTATACACATCCGGAAATTGCACAGAAGAGTGCATGGTCATGCCGCTGAGCAATCATTGCACGACGCTGTGTGCTCAGTCAACAATTTTCCCGCGCTTTTTGTTTTGCTTTATTTCGACTTGTGGCAAAATTGGCTCAAATTGTAAGTTTAAATAATTCCTAATTATGCTTACACCACCTTTTTTGGGCTTTTGTCTCGTTCTTAATCTCGAAATTCTAGCTCAATAAATAAAAAACTTTGCCGACCATGTATATCGAAATAATTTAACAGTATCCTTCATTAATATTCAGTAAACGCTAGCATGCATTGTGCGGAATAGGATGAATTTGTGGCTGGAATTTCAAACTGCTTTTTTATGTTGAACGACTTCACCACGAGAACATCATTTGGTCTAAATATTTTGGTCTAAATATTTTGCTGATGGATAGTGCGATATAATATACTTGACAGGATACCATTGGGAAATGTCAATTTCCCACAATAACAAAAAAGCTCTACAGGATGTATAAAATGTGCACTATTCTAAAATGCACACTAATTTGAAAATCCGCCAAATTTTTGACAACTTTATGTTAGTATGGGTAGTTTGAGGTCTTCTGGTATCTCTATATTTATATCACCAAATTATTCTGAAGTATATATATTTTGGAATGCAGCCGGGTTACTATTTTTTAAAACGAATTTAAAAATGGCTTGCACACAAAAATGGTAAGTTAAAACGCAATTTGAATTCATATGGTGCAAATTTAGAAGTAGTTTCAAATTTTCTTGCTATAGTAGTCTTTCACGCATAATTTTTAAACTCTTTGTAAAGAGTAGCTATGTAAGAAATCAATCACAAGTGCATAGAATCAGTCATGCGTGTGACAAATCATATGCGCGAAAGGCTACTGTCGCGAAAATCGTCTTTAATCGCAAATTATCTTTATGAAAGTGGTTTTGGAAAACAGCCCTGCCGCACTCCAAAAATTTACTTTTACTTTTCAGAACCATTTGGTGATGTAGAGATATCACAAGACTCCAAACTACCCATATACTAACATAATGTTGTCACAAATGTTGAATTTTTAGTTTAGTGGAAATATTGGAACTGTGCACTTTTTTTGATACACCCTATAATCATAGTTAAAAACTATACTAAATATGTCATTTTTCTCTTCAGTTTTTCCAGATGGATGTGGTTGCAAAGGTTATATTTTACCATTTTCTATATATGCTAAACCAGGTGAACAGACGGTACAGGTCACGTTGCCAGAACCAGAAGTGATATGCAGTAATTATGTGAAGAAGTCAGTTAATCCACCTAGTAATTCTAAGTTTAAACTGGGTCGACATGCAATTACTTATTCGTATTGGTACGAAGGTTACAAGCGAGATTTGAAGTGTTTTGTCAATTTCACTGTTGCTGGTAAGTGAACGTTAATATACATGAAAATATTTCTCAATTCTGATTGCTTAGTAGTGCAAGTTTATACTGTAAAACAGTACGTGCCAAAAAATGCGGTTCAAAGCCAAAACACGTAATTCTGTGCCAAAAAAGCCCTTTTAACCTTTTTGTAAGTTGTATAACAAGTATATCTTAATTCACCAATGGACGAAAACGGTTTTCTTGGAATATTTCTGATTCTAAACCCTAACTGATTTCATTCCGTATACTTTGCCATTTGAAAAAATCACGTACATCGCAGTGGTGACCTCAAATTGCAGTAGTCCTTTTACTGCATGCTTCATAGCTTTAGAATTTATAATCACTCTTGCATGTTTTTCAAACTTGCCCTCGGAATTACGCAATTACTTTCATTAATATATACGTATCATATAGTATACTCTCAAATGTTTCTGAAACCTCAAAACATCAGATTGATTTTCAAAATCTTTTCAATTAATCAACTTTTCATGTGGTCAAAACTAAATTCATGTTTTCCACAAAGAAAAACAAATTTGAGGCCATCAAAAACATTGAGGCCATCTTCTACTTATAATATATAGTTAATCTCACTTATACCTTTAAAATCGGACTCATTTTTTATGCTGGAAGTCAGAATGTTTTATAATAAGTATGGACGTAGGGATAGGAGTGTGTGAAAGGAATGACCCCCCCCCCCCGCCATGCACCCAACATTTGCATGTTGATGAGTAATTTCTGGCAAATTTAGAGGATGACTTGAGTTGATTTTTAGGTAAAATATACGAACATTGACAGGCACGTAGAAGTTAAAAGTCAGTGAACGCAAGTTAAGAATTGAAAATTTTAGTTGCATTTCCTGGCTTTTTGAGGTTCAAAATATTCAAATTTCATCCTCGATTCCCCGCAGATTTATTCCCGTATTATATTATGCCAAGTTATTATTTCGAAAAAAACACCTGCCACTCGAATGTACCCATGAAGAAACCACACTAAATTTCAAACACTGCTTTAACGTAACGTAAAACGTGCCTTGATGATCATTTTGCAAAGTGACTAATTATGAACTAAGATGTAATAATTTATATAAAGTTAAACATTATCGTTGTTGCACTGAACGATTCAAGAACTCCTTCTTTCCACAAAGAATTATAAAACAATAATTAACTTTCCTTTTTATCTTACATAGTTACAACTATATATCACTGACTTTTCTTGTAAATAGTATTCTATTTTATCGATTAATAATTCCATGTAAATTTCTAACGCAATTTAACCTTCGGGTAACAATGTCAGATTTTTTAATCAATAATAATGATAATTTAAAAAATCAAGTAATTCGGCCTTATATATGCTCGTGCCCCTACCCACTCGCAACGACAAAGTCTTCGCTACACCACTGATAATGTGTGGTGATTATTGAAGATGTCAAATTTGTTTAGGAATCGAATCCTGAAATTTTTAAAATGGCGGTTTCACTGTTAATAAATACTGACCTGTTACTATTTTATCTGAAACGATTGCTCCGTACGTAATTCACGCGACCATGAGCGAAAACTGTTATAATAGAGCTGTTATAATTATTTTAATTTCTTCATATTTAGCTTGCGAATGTCCCAGTACTCGAACAGTGAAAGCCACAGTCAAGCCTGGTGAAACTGAAGCCTCTGTCAGCTGGCGGGAACCTGAACCTACTTGCCCGACTAATCCAAGCGCACAGAATCCGCAAAATACCCGTGAACGGTTTTCTATCGGCAAACACACGGTCACGTACAAATACACTCACATCGGGTTCCGAATGTTTGATGTAAAATGTCATGTGAACATCGCTGTCACAGGTATGCTAGTACATGCGTAAAGACGATAAGAGAATAAAGTGGGCATTGCGGGAAAAATATATAGGCAAACGAAAGGGACATATTGAAGCTTCCTATAATGGCGGAAGTCTTGCATCTATGTATATGTACCGGTTGTATAAAAACGTAGTATGCTTATATATGCTTACATATGCTTGTATTTTTACTCCTACAATGTCTACAAAAGATTAATCAAACAACATGTTATAGTGAGCTAGATCTATGCAATGACCATGCACAGATATACAGCGAAAATTGTGTAATCTTGTAACTGTATATTATGATATAATATCCTTCTTTTGTAAATTGTATATACTTTTAGGTCTTACTTCAATAATTACTCTTCACTGTAAATATATATGCATTTTTTTTTTAAACCTAACTAGTGGCCTACATTAAAAAGCCTGAAAAGGATTCCAGTAGGTCTCTAGCCTGCAACACCTTCAAACTACACATAGTATTTGTTACTTATTATTGTACATACACATGGGAAATAAATATATCTTGATTGATTGATTGATTGATTGATTGATATGCCATATACAGTGTAATCGCCTTGCCAACATCGCCTTATAGTAACAGCAAAATCGTTTTTATTATCGTAAAAAACATGAAAATTAAAATATAATGTTGTAAAATACAAATTCCCAAAATTGTATCACTAAATTTAGAATAAAATGGCCACGTAGGATTAGATTTTTCACTGAGTTTGGGTGCTCCTTGTTATTTTGGCCAGTCGTAAGTTTTGTTCGTATTGATTTTGTTGTTGCTCAGAATAAGATAGTCATGACACTGTTGTTAAGACGATTTCAAAATGTGATTTTTTCAGCTGTGGTGTTGTTCTTTCATTTCTTTGCTTAAATAAATATAAAATTAAACCAACGCGTGGTTTTACACCATGGGCGTACCGGAAGGAAAAATTTAGGGGGGCGGAAAGAAATTTGCCCGACTTTTCCGGATTGTGCCCGACCAGTACCGAAAAAATTTTTTCCGGAAATTATTTTGGCGATCTCCCCCCCCGTCGCCAAAAAAAATTCGGTCAGTGTACCATTGTAGGGGTCAAAATTTTTTTCGGCCATACCAAAATTTTCGGAACATCACACAAATTTTCCTAGCATCACAAAATTTACCACAAAATTGACAAAATTTCCGACAAAATTGACAAAATTTGTCCCATTTATTTTTATAATAAACCAAAATTGCCCGACTGTTGATGGAATATTGCCCGACTGCCCAACAAACTGGGGGGCTACCGCCCCCCCCTCCGTACGCCCATGTTTTACATCCAGGACTGCAATCAAACGCCCCCATTAAGAAGCTTCAATTTACCCTTCAATTATTCCCGCAATCATTTACACAAATGATCGAATTAGTATTATTATTAAGATTAACATTTCTATAGGGCAAATTCACATGTGGATAATGATCAAATGCGCATGACATTAAGATAATAATATTAACCATAATATTATATAATAATAATATATATATATATATATATATATATATATATATATATATATATATATATATACATGGAAATATCATTCAATTCTGATTGGCCAAGAGCAATTAGTGCAATCTTATCGAAATGAATTTCGTCGGGAAAAGAAATCAGTATCACAAGAAATACATAGCAAGCGCCTAAACAAGTTTTGACTTCTGGCAGTTGAAAACATAGTCTATCAAAACATGATTGTCTATAAAGTGAACAGAAATCATTGTATTATATTTTTGTCTGAGATTATGTTAATTTGTGCATGGTCGCGGTGATTGCAATCATAGTGTTTTCGGATAATGAAGTAATCGTCCAATAGGGATAACTGAGATGAAACGTGAAATCACAATGAATTATATTTAATGAAGTTAAGACAAGGGTTTGTGCACGGGGAAGGTACATGTAGTTCAACATCAAACAAAGATTTCTACTTTTGTGGCTTTGAAGTCACATCATCACATCCTGACAGACTATGTTGAAAACTTGTATTAATTGTGCCATTCAAACAAATGAGTAAATTAATAACTTCTTTGAATGTTTGCATGGCGATAAAATATAACTGTTTTTGTTTGTGGAAACACCACGTAAATTTATTACTGCAAAGCTTTCGATCCGTAAGCCCGGATCTTCATCAGTGCTAATAATATGTGACTTGTTTAATTCACACGCTCTTTTTATATACAAGAGTGTCGTGATCTGTTGGCTCGCGTCATTTGAAATTTAATTAAACGGCACATCAACCACGTCATTTCAAAACGTAGTGACACAGAATAGATACAGGACCAGAAGTGTCACTCAGACGATATTTTGTCCGAAATTTTACGAGTGCTGACGGAAGTTGTTCATAGGAAAACATAGGTGCAAAGTGCCGGGTGCACTCCAGGATGGCGTCATAGCACGCAAAAAAATTTCGGACGTTTTCTTTCAGCCAAAACAAATAGGAGTGACACTTCAGTTCCGGTATGTATTCTGTGGTAGTGAAGTGATTCCAATTAACGCGCGCGCATCCAAGACAAGAGAAATTAATTTTGCACATTAAAGAGAGCACGCCACGTACTATCTAGTGGCTTTCCCTCCTGATCTATAGTATTGTGCTTCTCGATTTCAATTGACTCTCTCATTTTGCGAGAGAACTTATGACTATCAATCGCCAAAATGGTTGCTTCGTCCCGTAAGAAGTACAAAGTTCTAAAACAATACCGCATGAACAAATCTGCTGATCGAAAGCGTAAATTACGAAGCGTTACTCAACAAATCAAATACTTGATTCGAAGTAAACACCGAGGCTATCTGGCTAAAATAGAAAGTTCGTTCTGTGACAACCCCAAACTATTCTGGAGTTACCATAAACCAATTCTTCACCACCGGACAGGTCAGAGCAACGAAATAACATATAATGGTTTCACAGCCAAGACGGCGAAAGAAAAAGCGGATCTTTTTAACACTTACTTTTCTTCAGTGTTTCGTCCATCTTCTACCACTTGTAACCAGACGCCTCGAACGGAAAGCAAAGAGAACATCTCGGAGAACGGAGATAACAATCGATGTAGACGAAGTTGCGCAATTTTTGCGTGCCCTTGATACCTCGAAAGCATGTGGCCCCGACGGGATTCCAGCTCGCCTTTTACAAGTATGCGCCCTTGAAATCGCACCAAGCATATGTGAGTTGTTTAACTGTTCCTTGCATACTGGTCATGTTCCATCTGAGTGGAAATCTGCGAATGTTACACCCGTCCACAAAAAAGATCTTAAAGAACCGGCGGAACATTACAGACCAATATCGTTGCTGCCCATCGTTGGCAAAGTACTAGAGCGTTGCGTGTCCATCAGACTATATAATCATGTCAGGCACCTCGTCACAAAAGCACAACATGGCTTCCTTAGACGGCGATCTTGCGTTAGTCAACTACTATCGGTACTACACGCCATCGGGCAATCCCTTGACAAAAACGTTCAAACTGACGTTATCTACCTCGACTTTGCGAAAGCTTTTGACTCTGTCGATCACCAAATTCTCCTCCACAAGCTTGCGTCATACGGTGTGTCAGGTCATTTATATGAATGGTTCGAGGACTATCTCAGTGGTCGTCGTCAAAGGGTTGTGATTGATGGAGCTACATCTAATTGGTGCCAGTTACATCTGGAGTGCCGCAAGGCAGTCTCCTGGGTCCTATTCTGTTTGTGATATTCATAAACGATCTTCCCGACATATTACCTGACGAGACTTTGGCAGCTTTGTATGCAGACGACACCAAACTGTACAAGTCCATCACATCAGTAGGTGACTGTGAAAGTTTGCAACAAGCTTTAACAGACCTTGACTGCTGGAGCCGTGACAACAACCTCAATTTTAACGAGTCGAAGTGTAAGGTGTTGACAATTACAAGGAAAAAACCCCCGCTGACGTACGCATATCACATGGGCTCAAAGGAACTTACTCGTGTGAATAAGGAAAAAGATCTTGGTATATTCATAAATTACAACCTCTCATGGGACGATCATGTTCATACCATCACCGCCAAAGGGAACAAGATGCTTGGCATGCTGAAAAGAACTTGCCCTCTACTGACTAACACCGCAGTGAGGCGGACGCTGTACTTGTCACTCGTGAAGTCCCAGATAAGTTACGCCACCGAAGTCTGGTCTCCTCCTACCATCAAAATGAGATCCACAGTGGAACGTGTGCAAAGGAGAGCCACCTCTTGGATACTGCAAGCCAAGCGCGAAGAAATTGCATATAAGCAGCGGCTGATAACCCTTGGCTTATTACCCCTGTGCTACGAAAGAGAAATAAAAGACTTAGTGTTCTTTTTTAAAGCACTGTATGGACATATTGATCTTGACGTGCATAATTTCGTTTCATTTGTCAACAATGGCCGAACACGACTTAGTCGAAATCCTTCTCTCACACTCAAAATTCCTTTCTGTAAATCCAAAACATTTCAATCCTCATATTTCAACCGGCTTGTCAAGTTATGGAACCACGTCTGCAAAATTCTTCCCTCTACCACCTTTGCCAGCCTCTCCATCTTCAAAAGATCTCTTAAAGCCACTTACGCTAACTTGGTTACGGCAACATTTGACGTGGACATGCCATGCACCTGGACACTGGTGCGGGACTGCCCCTGCCACAGATCTTAAGTAGTTTTAATAGACGGTTCCTCTTATTGTGTTCACTGAATGCAACCACATTATGCTTGTGAGTTATGCTAACACATCCGTGAAGCATTCATTATGCTTGTGAGTTTGAAATTATTTTGCTAACACATCCGTGAAGCATTCATTATGCTTGTGAGTTTGAAATTATTATGCTAACACATCCGTGAAGCATTCATTATGCTTGTGAGTTTGAAATTATTTTGCTAACACATCCGTGAAGCATTCAGGTGGTTGTGTTCATGGTGCATACTAATAGGGGGAAGCGGCTTTTATATATTTGTAATCTATGTATGTGTGTATTTATATTTATGTACGTATTCGCTGCTTCGGGGTTTGCATCTTGTATGGGACTTCGCGTCTCGTTTGTGCTTATGCCATTTGAGTTCATATTAATTATACATAATATTAATTATATATAATTATATATAATATTAATTATATAATGTAATGTTCTCAATAAATATATTTGAATATAATTTTGTACATGGCGTGCTCTCTTTAATGTGCAAAATTAATTTCTCTTGTCTTGGATGCGCGCGCGTGTTAAAAGGTATCGAAGCGCAAAACTTGCTGCAGCTAGGCAAAGCATACAATGGCAGAATGAATACCCAGACCGAAGCACTGATCACAAGGCATGAAACAACCCCCTTTGATCGATATGACGTCACAGACTCCCCTCAGTGGATGTGGTCTGCATAATACATCCGCTGTTAACCTTGCTTAATTTAAATGTATTTAACCACATCAAGAGCTGATGTAATAACACATTGTCAATTTAACTAGTCTGCAAACCGTAAATCTGATTTGCATACAGCACACACAAGACAAGATGAATCAAGACTATTTCACATCAGTGACCATGATTTAGTTGCAACATTTACAACCAAATGGATACCAGGTTATTAAGCAAATTCCTTCAAATTTAATTGCAACCCCCCCCCCCATCAATTTCTTGAAAAAAATGAATAGCTCCCCCCTTCTTGTCATTTATTTCTACATATGCCCCCCCCTTATTTTTTCCCTCCCCCCCTTCCATAAATAATGACCGGTCCCTAGGTAAATCGAAGTTTTCGTTGTGTTTTATTATCTATTTAAAGGGCCCACAGTAATTGGTACCATACTGTTATAATGACCCTGCCATGAATGCATGATGATGGCGAAGTTAAATAAATAAATAAAAATTCTGTGGTCTAATCAGTCCGCACAATTGAGGTATCAATAATCCATCTCGATTTTCCAACGAACAAAACTGACAAAGCTCAATTACTCTTCAAATATATTTTAAATTAATGTTGAACAACTGTGGGAAACGTTAGCTTCCTCGGAAGACCAAGACCTCTATTTTGTAAGTAATATTTCTATATATACGGCGAGTTTTTCCACGTTATCTCGAGTTCTTCCACCACAAGTGTTTCTATATAACTGTACACTACCACAAGTGTTTCTATATAACTGTATATAGAAACACAGGAAAAACCTCTTTTGTATTTCTTTTATAATATCACTCAATACAATTTTCATTATATAGCCATGGCGTATTTATGTTGATTAAGTTACAAATTCTCATTACCTATGAGCGTAAAATCCACCCGAGGTTGCCCTTCGCTCGTCAATTATATAGGTGATTATTGAAATTCTCCACGGTGATTAGTTGCTGTTGAGGTGATTATAACGTGATAATCACCTAAGCGATTTTCGAAATGTCGGCGAAGCCGTTTTGTCAATTAAATGACGAAGAAATGAGTATTTTTATTTTTTCGAAATAATCACCTATGAAATTATACTAAAACAATTATTCACCTCAGGCTCGGTGATCATCGTGAATAAAAACCTCCACCTCGCCTTCGGCGAATAATTGTTAATTATAGCCGTAGTAGAATCAGTCAAAAATTTACCTATATCCATGCAGCACGTAGTACTACATCGTTCATTGTTTGCTTGACGTCAAATATGACATCACGTGCTGATGTTGGTTGAACTTCTATGGCGAAAAATGCTTACTTTTGTTACTCATTGTTCCGTTGACTTTACGTGACCCACGTTTATACAGTACAGCCCCGAAACAGTAAAAGACTTTAGTGTTTACGACGTTGTGCCAGATAGCTTTATAAAAGCAAACATGAACCTATATTCTGCATAGTACAAACTTAGACAATGGGCGAAGATGTCAAGGAGAACAGAATATTAACGAAGTTTCTTAAGTGCTACCATGGATAATAAAATAAATGGATATGAAACTAGCTGACGTGACCTAATGTTTTTACTGGGATTGATGGCGTGGCTGGGTGCCTCAACCTAGTTGAAAACCAAATTCTCAAAAACGGCATGTTTAGCAATAATACAGCTAAACATTTTAGTCAAAGAGCAAATAAATGTAACCACGCCATTCTACGATGAAAACTCTAAGTATTCCCAGTCAATTTTAGCAAATATTTCAAGCACTAAACAGTGAAAAATACATCGCAAATTTCGCAAAAATTTGTGACGCCAATTTCGTAGCTACAAATGTAAAAAAATACAAAACAAAGACGAAAAACATTTACCTTGAATACTTTGTCGTGGCTTAGGCATGTTTTTAAAACAATTAGACCAGTTTACGCTTCAAGATCACCCTTTTAAAGTGGAAAATATAGCAAAACAACAAAAATGCCGAGAACTTTGGTAACATTCGCAATACGCGTGACGTCACGTTTTTCAACAAGGATGCAGTCAATAACGTCAGAAGTTTCCAATCCATTTATTTTATTATCCATGAGTGCTACATTACCGTCCTCTTCAGATCCCGTCCGGCTGCACGCCCTCCGCATGGCTCTGTTGCGGCATTGACCGGACATATTTTATACATTTATGCATGCTTTGACTATTTTAAACATTAGTCAGCAATTAAGGAGTACTCATTGACCCAAAAAATGGGCGTTCCGTGAAAAAATTAATGCGTTCCAGCTACTGCAAAAATGGGTGTTCCAGCTTCTGATACTCCTCTTGTGGTTACTAAGCAGCCCCGCGCTTTTCAAGGATAAGGGCGATGATTGATTAATGAATGAAAACCTCTGACCAAAGTACGTGTGCATCGGCCGCGTACACGTCGGCCAGACAAGCCTGTATATAGGTATATGATTCTTTTTATTTCTTGTCTTCTTCTTGTGTCATATAGAAAGTACCCTTGTAATGTTCCTATCATGTTGTACTGTAAATCTTCACTCATTTACACCGCCCCTCTGGGTCCCTCATGGAAAGCAGCTGATAGTTGTTGAGGCTAACGTGTTAAATAAAGTCTGCGAATGTGTTATATTAAAGATTAACGACTATGATACACATGCAAGGTCCATATTACGTTTACATTCAATAAGTAAGATTAAATTTATGGTAAATATCTATCATAAAAGT